GTGTGATACTACTTTTGTGAAATGTGTATAAAAAACCCCAAACCTTGAAGAATCCCATTAGATAGCAAAGGGATACATGATATTTTTTTAAATCAGGCAGCTGGAAGTTGTCTAAGAAGTTACTTTGAAAAGGTAAAGCACTGGGGTGCCTGGGTGGCTCAGTCATTAAGCGTCTGCCTTCCGCTCAGGTCATGATCTCAGGGTCCTGGGATCAAGTCCCGCATCTGGCTCCCTCCTCCAAGCGGAGCCTGCTTCTCCCTCTCCCCCTGTTCCCCTCTCCCTGCCTTTTGCGCTCAATCTCTTTCTCTCTCTCTCAAATGAATAAATCTTAAAAAAATAAAATGTGAGGCATTGATTTACAAGGGAAAGGCGTGGTCTTAAGGTGTTCCATTACTGTAAGACTCTAAGAAAAGCCTCATCTTGTTTCCATGGAGCTTAGGGAGGATTGCCTCTGAAGTAGACCACACTGTTTTGCCATAATTCAGAATCTCTGACTATCACTGGAATCTGTAACCCATCTCAGCACCCAGCTTTGGACTGAGTAGTCCCAGGCAAACAAAAATGGTGATTCTCATCTCTTTAATGTGGTCAAGTATAGATACACTGCTCTGAAGGTGTAGAAATAAGCAGAGATTTAAAAAAAAGTACAGCAAATTCATGATATTATTACTTTGTGTTAGGTTTAAAAATATTCTGGTAATCATTGTAGTAATTTGTACGTATTGTTTCTTTTTTCTTAAGGAATTTGAAATATGTAGGAGAATGTCATGTTAGAGAGTCTGACATAATATACTTGTGATAGTACTTGAAAACATTTAAGAGAATTTGATATCAAACTTGTGAGTTATTTTGAAATATATAAAAAGTTGAATGAAAATAGATTTGGATAATTTGAAATGTGTTTAAGAATCTGCTTGCTTTTGGGGGCGCCTGGGTGGCTCAGTTGGTTAAGCATCTGCCTCTTGGTTTTGGCTCAGGTCATGATCTCAGGGTTGTAAGATTGAGCCCCAGGTCAGGCTCTGCACTCAGCAGGGAGTCTGCTTGAGATTCTCTCTCTCCCTCTCCCTCTGCCCCTCCTCCTTGCTTGAAATCTCTCTTAAATAAATAAATCTTTAAAAAAAGAATCTGATTACTTTTGTAATATATTCAGATTTTAGACAATTTGACTTATGGAATCTTTAAGACTTACCAAGGTCTAGGAAAGGAATTTAAGTGCTTTGGATAGTTCTGTTGGAAAGAAATATAAGTCTGTATTTTTAGAAGTTTGATGAGCATGGGTACTGCTTTCATGGCTGGAGTTCGAAATGCCTAGAAAACCCAGGTAACCAAGCTTGTGAACATATTTTCATAAGACATAGATGTTACCTACCTTTTGAAGAATTCTGTCCTTAGCTGCCGGAGTCAAATTTTGAGAAAATATACCATTACACAATCGAAGTGATTTCCAGAGTGGGGAATGGGGAAAGATCCCATCTCTTTGTTGGAATCTGAAAGATTTTATGATGAAATGGCTTTTGAAAAGGGCTTTGAGAAGTAAGAGAGTGGGCAGGAGAAAAGGGCATTTTAGAACAGGAAACACTGGAAGGAAAGGCATAGAGCTTTTCCAGGGAATGCAAGTAGTCAAATGTAACTGGATCATCTAGGTGTCAGGCTGCTTCAGTTATTGGGTGCAAGAAGCCACTGGGGTGTGCTGTGCAGGGAGCGCCTCTGTCAGAACTTTGCCTCAGCCGACTCGTCTGGCAGTGCCATAGAAGGTGGACTAGAGCAGTGGGGCCTGAGTGCTAGAAGACCTGCTCAGTCCTTCGTCTGTTTCTTTGGTCACCCACCATCCATCCATGCATCCATGCATCCATGCATCCATGCATCCATGCATCCATGCATCCATCCACCCACCTATCCATCCATCCATGCATGCATGCAACCATCCATCCACCATCCATCCAATCTTTCATTTAGTTGAGATTTCTTGATCACTCACGCTGTGCCACGCTCTGTGTTCTGGGAACCCACAGATGAAGGGATGTGGTCTCTGCCCTCTAGGAACTCCCTGGTATGTAGGGAAGACAGACAATGACTAGATGGCAAGGAGGGTGGTGCATGCTTTAGCAGACCTGTGCTCAGAAGGCTGCAGGCTACCTGTCCATGCAGGCGTGGATGACTCGCTGTTCAGAGAGATGAGGCAAAGTGCCCCAGAGAAGGTGGCTCCGTGTTTATGTCACCTCAGTCCACCTACGAGGTACTGAACTATCTAGCGTCGTGGCAGGGAACAAGGAAAGGAAAAGATGAAATAAATCACTCCGTTCTGCATTTTATTACAAAATTTCAAACATGAGAAAAAGTTGAAAGCATAGTACAACTAAGCCTGTATACACACCACCTCAGTTCCATACTTGTTAACGCTTTGTCATATTGGCTTTACCTGTATCTGTGAATGTGGCTGTGTGCTTTTCAGAGACATTTGGAAGTTGTAGACATCATGATACTTGGCCCCCAAATATTTCAGCAAGCACCTCTTCAGAGTGAGGACATCTCACTGCATCAACAGAATGCCTTTATTACACCTAAGAAAATGAACACTAACTCCTTAATATTCAGAGCATAGTCGAATTTCTCCAGTTGTGCCCTTAAATGCTTTTACTGTGGCTTTTTTAAAACCACAGTTCATTCAAGTTTCACATATTGCATGTGGCTGATTGCCTCTTTACATCTAGAACAGTTCCCTTGCCCTTTAAAAAATGACATTGAATATTCCACATTTTTATATTTGACAACTTCCTTGTAGTGTCTCTTAATATGATTTTTGTTTATTTATTTTTTAAAGTTTTTATTTATTTATTTGAAAGAGAGACAGAGAGAACACAAGCAGGGGGGAGGGGCAGAGGGAGAGGGAGAAAGAGACTCTCTGCTGAGCGGCGAGCCTGACGTGGGACTGGATCCCAGGACCCTGGGACCATGACCCAAGCCAAAGGCAGACGCTTAACCGACTGAGCCACCCAGGTGCCCTGCATGATTTTTTCTATTCCCTATAATTCCTGTAAACTGGAAGTGAGGTCGGAAGGCTTGATTTGATTCAGGTTAAATCTTTTTGGCCAGAATATCCCCTAGGCAATGCTGTGTATTTCATGACGTCACATCGTGAGACCCTAAAAGGTCAGGTTGTTCCCACTATTACTTTTTATTTATTTTTTAATAGCTTTATTAAGGTATTCACAGACCATACCTATTCAGTTCATGTTGCTCCCTTGTCCCAGGGCTGCATAACTATTCCTATTACCAATGCTAAGTTTGGCCACCTGGTTGAAGCGGTGATTGCCAGAGAAGAGAGACATTTTAATTTACAAAGATTTCTTGGGCTAGGAGTCAAGCTCCGCATGGGGCACTAGACTCAGAAAGGCCACAGGACTGAGAGTTCAAGGGATTCCCCGTGACCTTGGAGAATGCAGCCCCAGGGGGTTGTGGGGACAGAAGTCAGATTCCCAAGAGGAACATGGGTATTGGCGCTGTGGAGCTCTGACAGGGCAGACTTAATTTATGAGGTCTTAAAATCACAGGAAAGCAAAGACTCAGGAGGTGGCTTGAAGGGGTACCATGTTGAGTGGAACTTGGGGTGGCTACCGCCCCTTTCCTCCACCTGCCATAGACCTGTGTTCTATACCCGCTCTGCTCCACTGCTCATCGGCTGTAGTTCTGGGTTTGTATGGAGCAGCTTTACAGACAAGTTCAGGAAGCCTGGAGCCTGGGTAAGAGCAGATGGGAGTAAACCAAGTTTGCGGAGCACAGACCGAGCACCGGGCTGGGCATGGCGCCCCCCAGCTATGTCATTTAATCCTTACAGGACCCTGTGAGGTGGGAACGTCACAGAAGAGCAAACAAGTTGGGAGAGATCACTAGCTTTTTTCTTTTTTTTAGAGAGAGACAGAGCACATGAGGGCATGAGGGCGGGGAAGGGGCAGAGGGAGAGAGAGAGAGAGAAAGAATTTCAAGCAGGCCCCACACTGAGCGTAGAACCTGACCTGGGGCTCGATCTCACGGCCCTGAGATCATGACCTGAGCTGAAATTCAGAATTGGACGCTTCACCAACTGAGCCACCCAGGCGCCCTGAGAGATTACTAATTTACCCAAGGTCACATAGCAGGGTTTTGGGGTGCACATGAATTGAGTCTAACAGTTTGAAAGAGATGGCAAAACTCTTCCTGCTCTCCATGCCTCACTGTCTCCTGGGGCCTTCAGTCCTTGAGCCCTCCTGTTTCTCTCCCAGTCTCCCAGCCCGTTGGCTCTCCTCCCTCTCTACTCAGTCTCAACTCCAGGTTGGTCCCTGGGACTCTCAGAACCGAGCAGGCATCTCTACAGAACTGGGTTGGTGACTGTGATAGTGACCAGTCAGATTCACCTGGGGTTGTGGTGTGCACAATGCACAGTTCTAGGAAACACTATCCGTACTAGAATCCCGTGAACGGTGCCCCCTGATGTTGTGTAGTACGCAGATCCTAGCTAAGGTGTCTCCCTCCCACGCTTCCTCCCATTCTTCCTTTCTCTGTTTTCTTTTTTTAGTGAGGAACCAGCAAACAAGATGTGGAAAGGACGTATGTGAGATCAAGGTCATAGTCAGCGTGATTAGACCTGGCTACCTGGTGCCTCCTTGGTCCTGGTGGAAGCACACCTGCAGCTCGTTATTCTCAGCAGTCTACAGAGAATGAGGACTCTTCCAGGCCAGGGGTGCGCAGGAACATAGGCCTGCTGCCTTTTATACTGTTTTTAGGCTACCAAACACCAAGAACCCAGAACCTCCTTTTTCGTACAAATCTCTAGTGAGTTCACCTGTCAGTTGGGGCTGTGATGGCCCAGCCATCCTTTAGCTCTCCAGAAGGTAGGAATGTGTGGATGTGTTTTACCTGAAGAGCCTCAGTTTATCAGGTGTTGGCTGTTTGGCCTGCCTTTGTAGTTGCCTGACAGTTTCCTTGCAGGGCCCTGAACAGGATTTTTTTCTGTTTCTGTGCAGTTCTTTGAGTGTTCCTCCTCAACCCTTGTGGAGTGGGACTCACGCTCCTGCAGGTCCCCAGCTACCTGTGGAAGCTACCTTCCAAGCCCACCCAGGACGCCTTTGCAACAAGAGTATCACCAGGAGCACCACAGGCCCAGGTGATCCTCCTCCCTCCCTGGCATTTGGTTCTTTGGGGCAGTATTTGGTAGTGGTGGCTAAGGGGTCACAGACCACTCCCCTTGCAGCAATTGGGTGATTTTTTTCAACTCGTATTGTCCTTGACCTTTCTTGGCCACTCGTCCTGCATACTCTCAGTTCTCTGAAATTACCTGACTTTGCCTATTCTTGGGTCAGGTATTAGCTGGATGTAGTTTGCTAGGGGCAGAAGACATCCAGAAGAATGCTGACTTAAACACTGTATTTCTGTTGCAAGTAGAAGCTCAAACTGGTATGGAGACTCTGCTTTCTGAGGCCATCAGGGGACCAAACGCCTTCTATCCTTTTATTCTATCACCCCTGGGGGAAGGTCCTTGTCTGCATCTGGGGCTGGTATTTCACTAGTGGGAAGTGGGGAAGGGAGAAGGGGAGGGAGGGCCCAGAAGGTTCATGCCTCACCTGCTCACATCCCATTGACCAGTGTCCCTGACGGCAAGAGAGGATGGGAAATACAGTCTTATTAAGGGAAGCTGTGCCCACCTCACGATTCTAGTCCTATGAGAAAAGAGCAGGATGGCAGGGTCTGCCACAGACAGGCTGGGCTGTCAGGACCTCTGTTTCCATGGGAGAGGGCTGCAGGGCGGGTGTGAAGCAATCCTCTCACCTGCTCCTGGTGGCCTGCCAGCATCTCCTCCTACCGCGGGCCCCTGTGTGGCTGGAGTTCAGATTGGCCCAAACCATGCTAGAAGGAAGGTGATTTTGAGATTATGGGATGCTTGTGGTCTGTCCAGAGTCCACCATTCCCTTAGACAGGGCACCGGAACCCAGCTTCACAGATCCTGTAGGCCCTGCTGCTGTGATGAAAAAGAAGTACTCACCGGAGCGGTGTCCACATCCATCCCCACATCTGCCCCTCCATTCGGAGTAAGAGGTTGAATTGACAATGGTCCCATTTTCCTGTTGATGGTTCATAAGAACCATCATAAGAAACAGGATCATGTTCCTGTTTTGATGGAAAGCACGTCTTCTGGCTTAGACCGGGGGTGTGGTGTGTATTTGTTTCTCTGGCGGTCTATGCTGTCTTTTATTTACTTCCCCTGCCTCCTATAGATGCTGTGATGGAGAGAAAGTCCAGGCTGTGTCCTGAAGGAGGGTCAGCCCTGCATATCAAGCCAAGGGTAGTGACCTGAGTTCTTTCATCAGAGTAATAGTTGAAGTTCTCCCACATGCCAGCCCTTGGTTGTTGGCAAGGATCCCCATCGCTGCAGTGGCAGTATCCACTGAAATGTTGCCATGCCATGACAGTGGTCTCTCCTGGTCAGGGCACATTGCTTGTATATATACCATGCAGTTCTAGTACATTGGGCTCACACCTACTATGTAGCTCTCAGACCTGTACATCATTCATGGGTCAGATGAAGACCTATTTGGGTCCTGATTTTGAGGGTGCATTATGAGGGGTAGAACAACATTCAGGATGCATCCTAGCACTGTCACTTCTGGATCTTCTGATGCTGGATCATGATCTCATGCCCAGAGCAGCATGGTGACATGCCTTCAGTGTCCTGACTCCTTATAAACTGCAAGTCCTCCAGGTGAGATGATCTGCCTGCATATTTCAGTGGCTCAGGGGGGTGTCCTTATTAGACAAGTGCAGAACTGCTCTTAAATTTGAGGTATAAGTTTGCTCTTTGGTTTCACCACAGCTCCTACCAGATAAGGAATTCCTTTGATGATCCAACCCTGGGTCTTCTTGGCTCCTGAGCACTCTGTCATCCCCATTGTGATGGCCCTGGAATTTCTGTAGATTATAACCTCCTCCTGGCTACTGTTTCAGAGACCACGGGCTTATTGTCTGAGCCCTCCATTTGTCAGTACACACTACTATCATAGTCCCGGGTCTTGGGGATCTCGTTTATTTCTGGGGCAATGTGTGGCATGATTTTATTCAATTCAAACTCGGGCAGTGTGAAATACATCATCTTAAACACCTCTCTTGGCCCAAGTGGGTTATTACTTGTTACTTGCTTATTCAGCAACCCAGGCCCTAGGGGTGCCACAGAGAACGGAACAAAGTCCTAATGTGAACTAGTGTTACAAACCGTCTGTTGCTTTGTCTTTGATGAGTGTTAACCTCCTTTGATGAGTGGGGCCGCTGAGGGTTTCCAGGGTGGTTTCCTTACCACACACAGAGTGAGCCTCTGCACTCACAATGCAAACTCATGCCACCTGCCTCAGCTTCCAACAGTGTTCACCTCTGTCTCTTTCAACTGGTCTGCTCCTGTGGCAGTCGCTCCTTACTTTGCTTAGGCTCATGCACTCTGGCCTCTGGAATGAGGGAGTGAGGAGCTATCCTGACATCCTTACTCGGATCAAACACCTGTTCCTGAGATGATGGACGTCACCTGGAACACCTGAGTTCTCATACCTGGAGCTCACGGGACATTGCTTCCTCACTCTCAGTGCATGTTATTAGTACCTGGATGTGGGTTTCCCATCTCCTGGCTGTCCTGGGGCTAAGGCCTTACTCCTAGCAGCACACACATCCTTGCTTTTGCAAGTCTTTGCTGGGGGCCCTTGGGATGCTAATGGACCCCTCCCACCTTTCTCTTTTTCTTTTTTTTTTTTTCCTCTTTTTCATAAAAAACATGTTGTTGCAGTTGGCCGCAGGTGTAGGGTTTGACTCACAGTCTCTATTTCCTCCTACTACTCATCATCAGTTTCACTACTGAGCAGTCCCTTTTCTTAGAGCTGGACTGGAAACTCCCCATTCCTTGCACTTCCCTTCTAAATTCCTTCCACGCTCACCTGTCCCTCCTTCCCTAGTTGTCAGCACTGGATCAGTCAGAGCTAGGAAGGTGGAATCCAGTTAAAGATTGGATTGAGAGAGGGCTGGGCAGTTCCACGGAAAAGCCCCTTTTAAATTTAGAGGCCATCAGCACCAGAAGCTGCCTTCAGTTCCCAGCCCTGGGCTTGTAGGTTGTCCTGATGCCCAGAGAGTGCTACTTGCATTTAGTTCACCCAGGCCAGGGATGCTAACCAATTGACCATTCATGGAAAGCTCCACCCCAAATGTGGAGGGTACCCATGTTGAGATCCCTGCACCTAGCTCCTGCTCTTAATCAGCAAGCAGCACCCCAGGAAATGCTGACTTGAACTACAGCCCCTCCCTGCCCCTGAAAATTCAGCTCATCTAAACCTCTGGGTCTAGTCCAGCCCACAGTGGGATATCCCTACAGAGTCTACAGCTGAAGGCCTGAAAAGGTAACAGGGTGTGGGAGCCTTTGCTTACCTTGAACTTATCTTGTTCCTGTCTTGAACCACTGGTCTTTCAGACAAAATCCTGCCAACATCTGCCACATGGGATCTGCCGGCCACCAAGTCTGGCTGGCTTTGATGAGAACGACGTGGTTGTTTTCGCTTCATTTTATTGTGAAACCAGCACCTAGGCTGTGCAAAGGCCATTTGTGAGGCCAGGGCTGGCAGTGCTGAGGTTGCTCTGGCTCTCTGTGCCTTCCTTGATCATCGTGGAGGCACTCCAGAAAGTCTATGGTCCTAGCAGCCTCAGGAAGAAAAGGATCTGCCAGGCCAGGGCCTCTTAAATTCTCTACCCCGCTGGTTTCTGTGGCTCTCCTTCTACCTCCTTGACCATTCCATCTTTTTTCCTCTGTGACCTTCTCTCCCAGGCTCTGTCTCCGTCCAGAGCTGGGCCACCACTGGGGAAGGTGGTAGGAAGAAGTTAGGGACCCAGGTGTCAGAGGGTGGCATGAGTCCTGAGCATCCAGAAATTAGCAAATGGGGGGAGGGAGGAATGAGGGCCAACTGTATGTATGAAATTGCTGGTATTTGATCATTTTTGACCTATACAATCAGCAATTTCATCTGGCTCAAACTACAACTTCAGAAATTGCTTCAGTAAGGCCCGTGTCCACCTATACTTTAAACAAGGCTATTAGAAGCTTAGATAGCTTACACAAAGGTAAGTAGAAATAATTAAATCAGAAAAGGTACCTCTTTACAATAGCACCTCTGCAGTTCCAGAAGGTAGTAAAGTGCTGGAGTCTTACATGAAATCACATATAGCCAGGAAGTAGCTCTTTTCCTGCTGAAAAGCTTGTGGCTGACCTAAACGCCCACCTCACTATAGAGGAGAATGGATCAGGGCAGCAGATCTCCGTGTCTCTGAGCCTGGGATGCCTGTCCGGGGTAATTTTTCAGAGTAGGCCCTGAAGTTCCATCATTCTATGGGTCAGCACAGTAGGCAGTGAGGAAAAACATCAGCTGGGATTTTAGAAAGAGTCGGTAAAGACTTGGTACTTCCGGGGTAGCCCAGACAATTCTTTGCAAACACAAAGTCTTCTTATAAGGAAGTCTGTGATGGATGCTGAGATGAGCTGCTTACTATCTGTGGGTTCGTAGCCAAGTAAAATTCTCTCAGCCTCAGTTTCTTCTTCTGTACATGGGGATGGTAATTCCTACCCATTGAGACTGTATTAGTCCACTAGAGCTGCTATAACCAATACCACTGGGTGGCTGAAACAACAGAAATTTATTTTCTCACAGTTCTTGAGGCCAGACGTCCAAGATCAAGATGTTGGCTGGGTTGGTTTCTGATGAGGCCTCTCTTCCTGGCTGGTCTTCTTGCTGTGTCCTCACATGGCCTCATCTCTGTGAGGGTGCAGAGAGAGAGAGAGAGAGATCGTTGGTGTCTCTTCCTCTCCTTATAAGGATACCAGTCCTATCAGTTTAAGATCTCATCCTTATGACCTTATTTAACCTTTATTACCTTCTTATGGGCCCCTATCCAAAAACAGTCACACTGGGGATTAGAATGTCAACATATGAATTTGGGTGGGGGACACAACTCAGTCCGGAACAGACTGTTTTGTGAGTGGCGGAGCATAGATGCATAGATTATGCTCTGAAAATGGTAGCTCTTTTGATGTGGGTCATAGAAGAGGTCAAGCAGGTTCCAGTGAATCTGGCTGCTGAGTAAAGAAGA